CCCCACCCCCCGCCCCCTTCCCGGGAGAGGGAAAGGCTGCGCGGGAAGCACCTTGAGGCGATGGAGCGCGTTCCTCTGCCTCCTGCGGAGGCCGGCCCTGGTGCTGGTGACGCTGAACGCGGCCCGGATGCAGCTGGGGCGGCTGGACCTCACACTGGCCATGGTCCGGGCGGTGATGCGCTGTTCACTTCACTGAGAACACCCGGTTCATGGGGACAGAGCACAGGTCAGGGTCACAAGGTGGGTGAAGCGCTGACCACACAAAGACGAGGGGACTTTCTGCAAGTAGGAACCCGTCCTGTCTATGGTGGTGGTCGCTCCACGGGGCACATTTGTCAAAGGTCAGAGCCGTGGGCCAAAGGGTGACCTTCACCGTAAGGTGTACATCGGTCGGACAAACGTAGTTTTCCAAAATTTTTAGTCAAAAGAAAACCCACAGGCAGCTGGTGGCCTGGGAAACTCCACACGCATTAACATGGAAAGTTCTAGAACACTGCAGTGCAGAAGGGACCACCTTCCAGCCCAAATGGCCACCCTGCTTTGCTTTAACAGATAAAGAAATGTCAGCCCAGGCTGGGGACTGACTCGGCCAACGTGACATAAACTCAGAGCTTTTCCTAGAAAGTTTGAAGTTGTTAAAAAAAAAATTTTTTTTTAATACGGAACGCTTGATGAATTCGCGTCACCCTCGCACAGCCGCCATGCTAATCGTCTCTGTATCATTCAATTTTTTTTTTAGTGTATGTGCTACTGAAGCAAGCACACAAAAAAAATAAAAACAAACAAACAAACACTATACACCCAAAGAACAGAGAGAACATCCACTCTAAAAACAAACACACCACCCGGCCAGCGAGGCTCAGTGGTTGAGCGTCGTCGGCCTATGAACCAGGAGGTCACGGTTCGATTCCCCGTCAGGGCACATGCCCAGTTGCGGGCTCGATCCCCAGTGGGGGGCATGCAGGAGGCACTGGATCAATGATTCTCTCTCATCACTGATGTTTCTATCTCTGTCCCTTTCCCTTCCTCTCTGTAATTAATAAAAATAAATGAAACAAAACAAAAATAAAATAAAAACAGGCCAAGAGAAGAAGAGACGACCCACCTCTGTGGAGTTTCATGTCACGGTTTCCGCAGGATCCCGGGGAGGCTCCGCTAGGCCTGTGGGAAGGAAAGTGCCCGTCACTAAAGTGCCCACGTGCCCAGGTTGTGGGCTGTCAACCTTTTCCATCTCATGGCACATAAACTAATTACTAAAATTCTGCAGCATACCAAAAATAGATATATTTTTTGCCGATTTGACCAAAAAAAAAGGTATGATTTTGATTCGTTCATACTAGACAGCTATTGATGGGTTGGCTGTTATCATTTTTTTAACTTGACAATCGAAGGGAAAAGAGGTCAGTGCCCCTGGCTACACAGTCAGGCCCTGCCTGTTGTACAATCCTCCCGGCAGGGGGCCAGGGAGCGGGGTGGGACAGGGCCCAGGCACACCCCTCCCGTGCTGGGTGGCTGCAGCTGCGCTGTTGGGTTGGGTTGGGTTGGAGGCCAGTCCTGCCTCCTGCCGCAGAGCTAGCCTGGGCTGGTGTCGGCCTGGGCAGGTCAGGGTTCTGGGAAGAGCGGAGATGGCTAATTAAAACTTCAACTCAGGAGGCCCTCTTGGGCCAGGGATTGCTGTAGTCAGGTCCCTTGGGGAGAGCCCCTGATTGGGCCTCTGGGCCACAGTAATGATGCCAGCTCCCCAAGCAGAGAGGGTAACAGCGAGGAGGGAGGGGAAAAGGGGGAGGAAACAGGTTGGCAAAAAAATAAGTCCCTCTCCTTGTGAGGGGAGTGACTTGGGAGTCCCCAGGTTGTCACTTAATTGCTGTGTAACTTTGGATTAGTTCCTTGGCTTCTCTGAGCCTCCATTTCCTCATTGAAAGTGGAGATAATAAAAACTCCAGCCCTGGAGGGTTGCTGTGAAAAGGTGTGCATGAGCCTGGATAGTGTGCTTAGTGGCTGACTGTCGACCCAGGAACCAAGGGGTCATGGTTTGATTCCTGGTCAAGGCACATGCCCAGGTTGTGGGCTTGATCCACAGTAAGGGGTGTGCAGGAGACAGTTGATCAGTGATTCTCTCTCATCATTGATGTTTCTCTCTCTCTCCTCCTCTACCAAAAAAATCAATTAAAACAAAATATATTTTTTTAAAGTATGCATGAAAAGTACCTAGCACAATGCCTGGCTCAGAAGTAGGGGTTCATGCCTGGCTGGTGTGGCTCAGTGGTTGAGCATCTCGACCCAATAACCAAGGGGTCATAGTTGGATTCCTGATCCAGGCACATGCCTGGGTTGTGGGCTGGATTCCCAGTAGGGGGTGTGCAGGAGGCAGCTGATCAATAATTCTCTCTCATCATTGATGTTTCCATCCCTCCCTCTCTTTCCTCTCTGAAATCAATAAAAACATATTTTAAAAAAGAACTGGGGATTTAAAAAAAATCCTCATGGCACTCCGGTTGAAGAACGATGCCCTAAGGCACCCTCACTGTGTGCAATACACAGCAGTTTTGGGGGGTTTTTTGCCTTTATTTTTGTTTTTCTCTCTTTTTTCTAACTATATCTTTATTGATTTCAGGGCGGGGAGGGGAGAGAGACCCTCTTTCTGCGCTGTCCTCTTTAGGAAGCCGGCGCCCTGCAGCCACACCAGGAGCAGGGAGGGCCTCCTGAGGGAGCGGGACCTCTGTCCCCTCCCATCAGCGTGGACTCACATGTATCTGGCTCTTGGGCTATGACCCAAGACAGCGTTATTTCCTTCCTTCTGCTTTGGCCGGGACTTGCTCTGTTGGCTCCCACGTCCCTCTAACGAGCCAGGCTGACTTAACCGGGACCCCCAGGGGCAGGTGTGTGCAGGCTTAGTCCTCTCCCCAGGCCAAGTTCAGGCAAAAGCACCAGAACGGTGAAGTTACAACCAGCAGAGGAACCTGACCCACCGGGTTCGGCCCCAAGTCAGCACCAACTCCACGTTTCCTAGACCAGGGGGTGGGCACCGGGTTAAAGGACGTCTTATCTAGTTTCCAACCAAAGGCATCCCACACACCCGGTTAAAACCAACTGTTCAGCCCTGGCCGGGTAGCTCAGGTGGTTGAGCGTCATTCCACACACCAAAAGGTTGGGGGCTCCATTCCCAGTCGGGGCTCATACCCAGGTTTCAGGTTCAGTTCCTGGTCGGGCCGCATATGGGAGGAACCGATTGATGTTTCTCTCTTGCCCTCTCTCTAAACATATCCTTGGGTGACGGTCAAAAATAAACCAAACTATTCAATCACACACAGGAAGCACACGAGGCCCCACCCCCGCTGT